TGGTGTAGTCAGTACATACCTTAGGGAGTAGCCCATAACACTCAGCCTCATGGTGTAGTCAGTACAATGACTTGTATATTTGTGATGCTGTACAAAATAATTTCGATGGATGGGGACCATATTTGCACAACATCAAAATATCCTCAATGAGTTATCCCATAAAACTCAGCCTCATGGTGTAGTCAGTACATACCTAAGGGAGTAATCCCATAAAACTCAGCCTCATGGCGTAATGTTGACAGGTCCATGTCCCTTCAAACAAAAAAGTAATCTAACATTTTAAAAACTCCACATGTCATTTATATCTTACTTAAATTATACATTAAACTTAAAATGTTAGAAGGAATAGATATTTTCATTTTCTTATCAGTAATAAAGGTGAATATCTATAGCATCCCACAAAGAAAATGTTAATATTAGAATCTTAATTTGTTAATTATTGCCTCTCCCTTTAATTAGCTATATAATACTTAGGCCTATATCATACTTAGCTTTTACAAATTTAAATATTACCTCAATTCAACTTCCTTGGTTCTCATGAAATTCAGTATCACGGAAAACAATTTTGGATCCCTGTCTATGAATATCTGTAAACAAAAATAGAAAGATTTTTTTTCATACCAAGAAACAAACAAAATAACAACAACAAAATACCCAGCATAGTATCTGATAGTACAATATTCACATATTTCCTCTTGCTTCAATATTCACAAATATGTCCAACAAGTAAAGGAAAATAATATTTGTTTTAAGCTTCCGATTATAACAAAAAAACATTTGGTTGTATATGGTGCTATATACAGGATCAATAACCTCACCTAAATATGTTTCATATACCGTAAAAGGAATTCATAATTGACATTGACGCAACGGTAACGATCTCTTTTCACTTCTTTTTGATCAACTAATGCTAACAGGTAATACACATGTTCACAAGAATTACTTGAATTATCTAGAAATTAATTGAATATGCCTTTCTGTTACGATGTGCAATTTCAGACTGCCATAAAAGAAAAAGCCAAAGAAAACTATGAGGTACATTTTCTTCATAAAACTATCCCATACAAAACAATATTATTAAAGAAACAACAAAATCCAAGTGACCGACATTTCTGATGATTGATCTTATTAACAGCTATGGTCATTTAAAGGCGTTCCAGGTTTTTTTTGTGATGGAGAAAAGCTGGATTACACGAAAAAAAGAAGACCTGTGGTCAGTACCTGGCAACTGCCCCAGTTAGGCATCGAACCCGCCACCAAGTGGTTGAGGGCAGGCGATCGTAGACAGTCAGACGCCTTAACCACTTGGCCCCCACTCCAATGGTATGTATGTTCACAAAACTATATCATATTTCGGTATAAATGTATTATGTGACTGGTATGGCTGATATTCTGTGTTGAAATAGGTTAACAACATTTTATTTTACAATTACTATATTTTATATTATAAGCCATACAAATCATGTGTAAGCAAACATCTGCATTGCAGTTTTAAAAGTATTAATTATTCATTATGAGTTCCAGAGATGTACTCACAGCTCCAGTTTCATCTTTTAAAGAGGAAATTCTTCCACTTAGCATACTGAAATCATAAAATAATACATTATAGTGCTGCATACATATACTTAACCTGTAACAGTTAAAATGGATTCATATTTAAGTTATTTTATAATCAAAACCATATTAATTCCACTAAAGACGAATTCTTCCAAGATGAAAATAAATTTAACTTTCAATTTTTGTTTTCTTTATTGTTGATATTTTTTAAGATAATTTTAAAGTGACTGAAGCAATATAAATCACATGGTGGCTAGACCCAGTCAATGATGTTAACTACAAAAACTAAATTTGTGTGTGCATTGTACATGTGAAACTCTTAAGTTTGGAGCTACGTATAATGTACATGAAATACAACCCAAATTACTAATTTTCAGATTTCTGTAAAAATTTGCCAAGTTGGAAGATCACACTTTTTGCTAAAATATTACTAGTAAATCAGTTTTGCATAAAATGATAATTTTTCCTTAGAACTTAGTTCAGATTATTTGTACCCCTTATTGGCTAAGGACAAATTTGAAAAACATTTAAACTTTTGCTACACATATTGAAAGAGGAATCAATTCTCAATCTATTATATGTAAATGAAAACGTCTGACATTATAAAAATTGCAAAAACTTAAGATTACCAGATAAAATCTCTGAAGAATACATTGTAAACAGTATTTCTGACATATTTATATTCGATACACACATTTTTTTTTATTTATCTATGAAAAATATTAATTTGATCTCTTATTTCTATTTATAACGTTTACCTTGTGAAGAAAGAGTCTGGGATCCATGTTAGTGTTTGTTTTGATGTTGAATACCTGAAAACGAAAAAACAAAATATCAGACCTTAAAGTTACAATAACTCGCAATACTAGTCTTCATCAATACATGTTTGTCGTTTTTAAAATTACATTTACCAGTACATGTATTAGAAATTAGTACAGACAATTTTGTTTATGGATTTGTACAAAGACTGGGAAAACACAACACTTTCTTGAAAAATAGAAACTTACTATTTCCTCTAGATCTCTGAACATAGGTTTCCTCTCTTTTGGTAGCTTATAATGCCTTTGATATTGTTCTTGATTTACATCGATATCACAGTTACAGTGGAGGAATTGATCATAATATATTAGTACTGAACTGAGAATATCATTAAATGGTTTAAGTTGTGTTCATTCAAAGTTTGGAGGTTATTTACAAATTGACGTGCAGGCGGTCATCCATCCAGCCACTTACCACACTTGTACTAGACGATGGTGAACTAGCTTTAATATAAGTCCCAGGGTTACATTCCAATACAGGAAAAGCTAGCTTGCCATACTTTAATGGGATATTAGTGGACGTATGCATTGCTGCCTCTATATCCACATCAATATAATTTTAAATACAATGTGGTAAAAATAAGATAAGACTATATAAGACGCTGTACACTCCTGGGATTTACTACACTCCTGCCCTGGGATAGAATCCTATATTCCATCAATGATGCATATTTTCACTTCGCTCTTCGCTTTCAATTGGTTAAAAGCCTTGAATTATGTAGAGCAACTGAGCTTGGTCAATACTGAATAGCAGTCAATATATTCCAGTCTGCTTCACCGTTGTTGCATATTATCAGTCTCATATATCACATCGTTAGAAATATAAGTTACTGATAAAGGCAAACAGGAGACATTTAGCTACTTGTATAAAATCTGAATTTGCTTCACCTTCCAGTGAAACAATAATGTGAGCTCAGTTGATAGAGTGATACTAAGGAACAAACTGATTTCGAACAAAAATCATGCACAAACAAATGTACATGAAGATGTAAGCAACATCATTCTCTATTTTTAGTAACAGGTTCTGTGTTATTTTTAGATCAATGTTGACATCAACGGAATTGAATGTTTTATGTTAATTTACAATATCTGCTCAGTACATACCTTGTTCCACCTACGTTTAGGTGTATCACGTCACCCGGCATTTAAAATCAGAGAATGCAACTGCCAGGCCTCAAAACACACAAGTTGATCTGTCAGTAATTTACCTCTGTCCCTTGCCGGATGTTGCAGAACAGCAAAAATTGAAAGCGCCACCATACGGGATTTTTCTTCTTCAGATAAAGTTACTTCCCCTACACCACCTTCACTAGATTTAAGTTGTTCACTTTTACTTATTAGAATAGTTGACTTACTATTAAGGAAGAACATGTTTTAAATGGATCCTTTGATGGGTTATTCCAGGTATGGGTCAAACCATGCATGACTCTAGTATTAAGTTTCAAAACTGTCTAACTATTCCTATCATTATAAACTTCAACAAATCAAATTGTTATTAAAATCACGGACTTAGATAATCTAATTCCGTGTTAAAAATAAACTTTGAATCTTCATCTGAATTATTTTTTGGTCATAAAATCTAAATTAAATCTTGATTAAGTTGCAATTAAAAAAATACTAATGAATAAAAGAAAATACCTTTATTCAAATCATTTAGGTAATATACATTTTTTCAGCGAGGAATTTATCTATTCCAACTTGGGGACAGGTATATTTAGAATGAAAGAGACAACAAACGCAATTTAAATTTCGATAAACTTTACCTTTATGTCAAGGTATTGAGGTGGTACATAATTTACGAAACAGTCACATAGTAAGGCTGAGCATGTCGAGATAACATATTAAACGTCTATAAATTTTACCTGAGTAATTTTCTGATTTCCGATCACGTTTTGTAATCTCAATTCTTACGAAGATCACCAATTAAAGTATCGTGTCACACAGAGTGTCACGTTTCAAGTTTTATTCAAACTGTAGGCCTTAGGCCCATCAGTACATATATATACACAAGGCACAATGCATAGAGAATGATTGATTCTCTGATATAAAAACAGAGGACATTGACAAGTGAGATTTTTGTTTTAGGGTTTCTTAATTTGTTTGCTTCAAATATATATTTTCCTAACATACATATATAACTCTTTACAATTTTGAACACATAACAACTGGATAGCTTTAAAACAGAGGGATTTTTCCAATAATATTTCTTCCGTTCCCTGAGATTTTTAAATTTACTGCAAATCAATAAAAAAATGGTATTAATCTTCCACATCAGTGGAGTTACATTCTTTACAATGTCGTTGCTTCCGAGGTACAGGTTCATTTCTGTATCGTCCAGTCTCTATAGCCAGTGTGTGGATAGAAGTAGGTAAATTCGATATTTAGCAGGAATACATTTGGTGAGGTAAAACTGGATAGAAGTTTTTATAGGGAAAATTTTGTGAGATTTCTATAGAAGCTCGTTAAGCCTGTTTACCTTGATCAACAATTCTTTGTTTTATCCATGACAAAAATAAGTTGCAACTTTGAAGGGATTTGACCATGCATCTCCAAATCCTAAATCATTAAAATCATCTCTAACAGTGTTAGCCCAATTAAAAGTGTTTCTACCACCACACCAGCTCATTAGAAAGTCATAACTGTTGGTGACAATACAGTTTTCACAATGTAAATTTTTTAACCAATATTTTATCCAGCATTTAGAGAACGAAGCAAACATAACTTTACGACGTTGAGAAGCCAATTGCTTTTGAATGTTATTAAATTTATTATTTTAGCTAAGCATTACACCCAAATAGGGAAAGTTGTCTACACAAGTCCCTATGCTACCTCTGTTATACCGTTTTTCATTATTACGTATTATTCCTCCTTTACGAAAAACTACAATTTTAGTTTTTTCTACATTTACAGTTAAATTCCACTGCTTACAATAATTTTCCAAGATTTTTACTGAATGATTGAGTGAAGGCAGAAAATAGCATCCACAGTACTAAGACCAGGTCTGAACAGCATCCACAGTACTAAGACCAGGTCTGAACCCAAATTGGACATCAGAAATAATATTATATGTTTTTGACCATTTTAACAATCTGTTATAAACAGAGGTAAACAATTTACCCAGACAACTTACAATACTTATGGCCCTGAAATTCTCCGGGTCAGTTAACTCTCCCTTTTTATGCACAGGGGTAATAACAGCAACAGACCAATCAGCTGAAAAATGTCCAGATTCTAAGATATTATTGAAAAGTGTACACAATATTGGGAGTAACATATCGCTACCACCCATAAAACACTCATTAAGGATACCATCAATACCGTATGACTTTCCTCTCTTTACATTTTTTTACAGCATTACTAATTTCGTCAACAGTAATGGGTTGATCCAATTCCTCGTTTAATGCATGGTATATCAGCCTCAGCATCATTATGGTTACCATTTTGATAGTGGTCGTCATCAGTATGATAAGAGTATTCGTTCTTGGTCAAATATTTGAAATTGTCATATAATGTGTTCAAATCCATATTGGTTTGTTTGGATTTAGAGGTATTACATTTATTATACTATTGTTTGGGATTATGCAATCTCATATATTCTAACATATCACCTTCACATCTGGAGTACTGTATTTTTTTCAAAAATTCTTTTAATTTGTACTTTCCTTTCTGTTCAACCAATAAACTATGGTTTATCGCAGTTTTGTTCTTATTAAAAATGGATAAAGCATTTTCATATGCACGATAAAGTTATTTTAATTCCTCGTCAAACCACGGCTTATCAGTATTGAAATTCAATACATTAGTACATGATTAAAAAAATCGTTATTGTCTCGTGAGTTTACAAGGAACGAATTCATAGTTTTCAAAATTACATTAAACAGACACACACTGTTATCAATGTTTTCTTGAGTAACAATTTCAGGAATGATTATTGCATCCCTTAATTTACTTCATTTGCAGATAGCAAATTCAAAAATGTTTCATTACCTTCATTTTTCCATTTATATATTGGTTTTCGCTCGCCACATGTCAAATTAGCATCTATTGGTTGAGGCAAACACGACTTTAGTTGAATATGTAAAGGGACATAATCAGAAAAGGCATTGAAATTAGAAATGATAATTTTGTCCACAATATTAAATAATGACGTATTAATTAGACAATAATCAATGGTACTCATACCAGTATGCCCATACTATGTATAGTCATTCGAGAAGCCATGTTAATCTCTCCCATTAAAAGTACGAACATTACAGGATTTGCATAACTCAATTAAACGGTTACCAAACGTATTAACTACAACATCTGGGTTTATGCGGACACTAAGTGATTCATCCGCTTCATAGTTGAAGATGTGTAAAAGATCATCCTGAACACTAGAGCGAACACCACCATTTTCAATAAAATCTGACAGGTTACTTGTACAACTATTGAAGTCACTAATTAACATAATATCCCCCAAGGGACTATATTTTCCAGTTCTATATTCGAGTTCAAAACATAGGTCACAGTTATACATATTGTAATAAACAGAATTTTAAGGGGGCATGTAAACACATGCCAGGTATATATTCTTACAGGCATTATCAATAATACCTCTAGATATCTTCAACCATATGATTGAGTCAAATATTGTTTCTGTTATATGATCAGTATAATTATTCCGCCGACTTGTGAACCGATACTTAGACTTCTGGGGTAAACAAAGGTAGAAAACCCCTCTATAGACAATGCAGCGTCATTTTGTAGCCAACATTCACTAAGGAATACAATGTCAGATGTTTTAATATCTTTTATAAAGTTATTAGATTGTAACTTTTTGTTTAAACTGCTATTTATGTTCCAGTAAAGGAACGTCAGGTCCTCTCTCTGAACACAACCATTCTCCACATTGTCCTAATGGCGACGATTACACAATCATTCTCCACATTGTCCTAATGGCGACGATTATCTTGCACATGGTTGCCTCGGCCCCTACCTCGGTATCCTTGGTTGCCTCGGCCCCTACCGCGGTATCCTTGGTTGCCTCGGCCCCTACCTCGGTATCCTTGGTTGCCACGATTATTATGGATTTCTGATGTGGTACGTGATTTTTGAACCGTGGGTGATTCTTCATATATTTCACCATCTAGATAAAGTTTCTCACCTTTTTATTGGCCTCCCAGGCACTTTTACATGTAGGCTTTTCCTTATATCTCGAACTTCTTTAGGGAATTGTTCAGAGATGCGAAAGTTCGAGTCTTGGAGTTTTTTAGGAGCTAGCTTCCTTATTTTTTTGCCTTTTTGGTCTCGTAGTTTAAACCCTACCGCGGTATCCTTAACTTTGAGCTCGGAGTAACTTTGAGCTCGGAGTTCGGACCGATCTGCTGGGCTCTCTCCATGTATACATCCTCGGTCAGACCTGGCTTTTCCTGTACGACCCGAGATACCTTACTGACACAATCCTCCATGGGCGTGCTCATGTCATTCACCATTTGGAAGTCGGGGCCCTCATCCTCGGCAACTCCGAAAAACAACAAATTATCCCGCATCGATCAACATTTCAGATCGAGAATATCACTCGAGACAAAATCAATGGTCTTTTGGCGACCTTAGACATCACCCTTTACACCGGGTTTCTTTTGGTCATCAAACGATTTGCATAAAAAGGTTTGTGATTTTTCAACCTCGTCCACCCTCAATTTCAACAATTTCACATCCTGATAATACCAGTGAGAGCTTTTTCGATTGTGTCCAATTTGGAAAGTTTACTGGTGAGTGCGTCTACTTCAGAAATCAAACACTTGGCCCATGCAGGAGGGGAATTTGGTATTGGGAGAAATTGTGCACTAGTGTTTTCATAGGCATACTCATACCTGACTGCGACATATTTGTATACCCGCACGAGCTACTGTATACACCCGGTTCACCTGTCGATAGATAGTTTTTAACCTGTATTTTTCTCAGCTTTCCTCTTCTTACTGGGAGGCATGGATATTACCCAACAAACCACTATGCTGTCCCAACTCCCTGTCCAGAATATAAGGCACGACCATCACACAGGCTGTCGGACTAGACAGGACGTTCTCCGCATGTAATGTTTATGTATACACGATGATAATAATATTAAAATATCTTCGAGTAACTGGTAAAATCATAGACATATTCAAAACATTCTCATTATACTGAGCTGGCATATATCAGAATTTCTCAATAGTATAATCAGGAGAAATACATTGATGGGTCCTGAAAATTTGTCACAGCGACTGTGACCTAATCTGATGTGTTCAGATTGATACTGTATTAAACGTTTTAGGGGCCGAGATGAACTCTGGGTAACCTCTCTCCACCTCGACCCCAGCGTCAAGGACCCGTGAAGCATAACATTCAACAAGGCCTTATTTGTTACTCTCCATGTTCAAGCTTGTCTATTACACTGTTGGTATCGTGATACCGAGTTGTAGCTTAGATGTATATAAACCGGGACCGATGCACAGTACTCCATTGAAGGATAACAATGGAGAAATAGACGGCTACCTTAGTCACCATATTGCTGACTCTAAAGTTTCTGGAACTTACTCCTGAGAAGTTTTTAATTCTCGCACTTGGCTGTTTTTAACTGTTAAATGTTGCTATGAGAAAAACAGATGGCAGCAACTTGGCTTTTGAGAGAAAAAAGGGTGGTAGCGGTAAAGAGGTAGCAGCAGTAAAGAGGTAGCAACAGTAAAGAGGTAGCAGCAGTAAAGAGATAGCAACAGTAAAGAGGTGGCAACAGTAAAGAGGTAGCAGCAGTAAATAGGTAGCAACAGTAAAGAGGTGGCAGCAGTAAATAGGTAGCAACAGTAAAGAGGTAGCAACAGTAAAGAGGTGGCAGCAGTAAAGAGGTAGTAGCAGTAAAGAGGTAGCAACAGTAAAGAGGTAGCAGCAGTAAAGAGGTAGCAACAGTAAAGAGGTAGCAGCAGTAAAGAGGTAGCAGCAGTAAAGAGGTAGCAACAGTAAAGAGGTAGCAGCAGTAAAGAGGTAGCAGCAGTAAAGAGGTAGCAACAGTAAAGAGGTAGCAGCAGTAAAGAGGTAGCAACAGTAAAGAGGTAGCAGCAGTAAAGAGGTAGCAGCAGTAAAGAGGTAGCAACAGTAAAGAGGTAGCAGCAGTAAAGAGGTAGCAGCAGTAAAGAGGTAGCAACAGTAAAGAGGTAGCAGCAGTAAAGAGGTAGCAGCAGTAAAGAGGTAGCAACAGTAAAGAGGTAGCAGCAGTAAAGAGGTAGCAGCAGTAAAGAGGTAGCAACAGTAAAGAGGTAGCAGCAGTAAAGAGGTAGTAGCAGTAAAGAGGTAGCAGCAGTAAATAGGTAGCAACAGTAAAGAGGTGGCAGCAGTAAATAGGTAGCAACAGTAAAGAGGTAGCAGCAGTAAAGAGGTAGTAGCAGTAAAGAGGTAGCAGCAGTAAAGAGGTAGCAACAGTAAAGAGGTAGCAACAGTAAAGAGGTAGTAGCAGTAAAGAGGTAGCAGCAGTAAATAGGTAGCAACAGTAAAGAGGTGGCAGCAGTAAATAGGTAGCAACAGTAAAGAGGTAGCAGCAGTAAAGAGGTAGCAGCAGTAAAGAGGTAGCAACAGTAAAGAGGTGGCAGCAGTAAAGAGGTATTAGCAGTAAAGAGGTAGCAACAGTAAAGAGGTGGCAGCAGTAAAGAGGTAGCAGCAGTAAAGAGGTAGCAACAGTAAAGAGGTAGCAACAGTAAAGAGGTGGCAGCAGTAAAGAGGTAGCAACAGTAAAGAGGTAGCAGCAGTGTGGCTGTGAGGGAACAGAGACGACAGTAGTGTGGTTTTGGAGAAAGAGAAGCGACAGCAATGATGTGAGAAAATAAGACTAGAGGTGGAAGCAGTGTGGCTATGGTAGAGTATACCGGTGTGAGATATCCTTTTCTCCAACCCTTCACAGATGTGTCTCCCGTTTTAGCCGGGAAAGATCAGCTTGTCACTCCCTCGGGGGAGATAACCTCGTGCCGATTAGCACGTGTTCAATTGTGACGTCGTCAAAAGTGAATGACGATATGCATTACCCACATGTGTTTTTGTTTACAAACATGGCGGACTACTGTCGATGGAGCTGTGACTGAAATAATAGGATGGGAGAAAAATCCAAACCGAGGGGTAGTATCTTTGATTGTCTAACCCTCCTCGGGTTGGAGATTTCTCTGTCACACCCTCAAGGTAGGGGAAGTTTCTATTAATCATGGAGGGTTTTAAAATGCATGTTTAACAGGTAATAGAGCATTATCATAGAAACGCTCTGTAAACAGATTGCTTTATGTAATACCATCTAAATTTCTGCCGTCACTTCAACAATACAATGACGTCACGTCAACAATCCATCAACGTCACGTCAACCCTGAATTTAGCCCGTAACGGTAACATTACATGTGTTACACAATGGGAGAACAGGGTAAGAGAAAACGAATCATTCATCCCCTTGTGGTTAAGATAGGGAATCTCAACTTTTGGGGAACGATTCTTAAGTTGCCAAACACTCGGCAAAGCCTTGTGTTTGGCAACTTAAGAATCTTTCCCTCGGGTTGAAATTTAAGAATCTCACCCCAAGGCGGTGAGAGATTTTATTAATCTCAGCACACGTTGACGTTTTAGAAAACATTAACAAGGACATCGAGACACAGGCCAAGAGGGGCGATGTATATGGTAACCAGTTTATAAAAGGACATCGTTTCAATTAATGTTGACGCCCGCCATTTAAACAGAGACGAAATGATCGGAGGAGAATTATGGACACTATTTCATTGGATGACTTTTTGTGGACGCCGCACTTTTAACTCGTAAACTAGGTTATATCGTAGATTGTAAAGTATCTATAAACTACCATTGTCAGCACACAGGAAAAACACAGAAATAAAACAATAGGAACTATTATCAATCTGTATAGCATGTAAGTGATATGTAGCCTTTGGATAAAGCTCGTAACCCAGAATATGTAAAGAGTCGTTGAAGATGAGCACTTTTGATATGACTTTGTAGTTAGGTTTTTTCTTGCAGTCTTGTATAAGGAAATCTAGGATACGACACAAGATGATCTGGGTACATTGTGTAGGAATAACACTAACGCATATTTGTTACAGTGGCACTACATTCTTACGATGTTTGTATTTTTTGTCCTCAAACGTGGTTTTACATTTGGATATGATCAGTTTTGGCGTCCAGGATTGTTATTAGAAGTTTATCTTCATATAATAGTGTTGTTAGTAATATATAGTATAATTAAATAAATGAGTTCTTTACTCCGATTGTGTTATATACATCTATCATCAAACGTGTTGAAAGTAATCTTTACTTATTCCAGACATTGCAGACATGTTATAAGTTATATATTCTTTTCAAATAGTGACGTCAATAATCCGTCCTATTCAAGACGTGTTGTAATAGGTATACGGTATTTTGTATGCAGATAATGAAATAAAGTAGGACAATCAGTATATTCCAGCGGTAGTTCAAAATTAATAACAAGTTATATTCCAGGCGGAAGTGATGTAATTAATCTGTTTTATTTTTTATTACACTGATTGTCCTAGTTTATTTCATTATCTGCATATCAGACACCAACCAAAGCTGAATCAGCTCTTCTGTTTGGCTAGATAGTTACTTTTAATTAATATTTTATGTAATACGGAAGATTATTTATGTATATTTTTGGTTTGAATAAAGTCTCAGTTGCCATTTTGTTCGAAATTTCGTTCTCTGATTAGGGTACCAATGAAACAAAAAGATACTCACGTTTTTTTTTCCAAACACATTTTATTTCTAGTTCGTTAAAATAAACATTAGTTTGATGTATCAATTACAGAAATCGATAAAATGCCACGATGTTATCCTCCAGAAGATGGGGCTAAAGTCACTAAGCCTCGACAAACCGATGATAGCATGATGATGATTCAGGGACATTCTGGCGAGGGTATGATGTCATATCAAAGACTTTATGTTTAGAACATATGATTATTTGGACATGGCGTCGTGTAGTACCTGGTGTTTGTACGTGTCCCATGTTAACTTATCCTCCACGGCGTCCCTCACCTGGGAGTTGCTAGGATACGGGGGTACCTGAATAATAGACAGTACATATGTAGACACGAGGTACTAGGCGTTGTAAATATATTTCTCCAAAAATGTAATCAATATAAACCCATTACATATTTAACATCACAATACCCTGTGATTTTCAAATTTACGTGTGTAATTGTTTTCATGTGTTATGTGAAACAAGATATCCAACTGGTTATGATTGATGAAGATCAATATCCTCTGTAACGGATTTGTTATTGTTTTTATCAGGGTTTTACATTCCGCTAGAGCCGGACTCCTTTACTGCTGTATATCTTCTGGATAGGATAGAGATAGGAGTATTTACTTGAGCTTTAAAATTATACACATGTATAGTACAGATATAGTACATACTCTGTATACAAGACGTCGCTTTAAGTCATCATCCATGTGGTCCCTGAAGAATTGTTTCGACAGTAAAATACACTCGGCACCATTGCTGACCTGAAATTATCAACAAACCACTAGAATACATTATTCACAGCCCTTATATATCCCACCAACCAAAACTGATGTTATAATCTTTAAACAGCAAGAACTATTCGCGTGAATGATTTCTAATAGGAAACTGTTCGGGTCTTCCCGCCGAACTGTTTGAGTAATCAGGGACCAATCAGGACACGATGTCAAATTATGACGGAAATTCCCGAAACGTTTCCGATCGACGTTCGCCGCCAGACGGAAATGGTAACCATAGAAAACGCGATCTTGTTCCCGCAAAAATTCTGTTTCGCCATTTGGTAAAAACAGCTTGTTTTGATATATTTTGAACTGAAGGAAATAACAGACAATGTTAAAATAATAAATCCGTTTTGTTCTGAATGTAAATGTACGGATTTAAATGTATCTTTTAACATTTATGAAGGTGCGTAACACAGTTCCGTTGAAACGCGCGCATTATGAAACCTGTTTGAACGGTTATGTGATTCATACCGTCATGGAAATCGGAAAGAAGCATCAATCCTTAACAATACACACTACATTAAAAAAAATCAATAATGGTATACACAAATATCCTTAAAATACAAGAACTTTCTGTATTGGAATGTACCGGGTTACATCCAAAGAGGTATCAGTCTACATTACGAATGGGGCAAATATCAATATGACAACATCATATTACACATGGCAACCCCGTAGCAGGGTAGAACCAGAGTAGATGAAACAGCTCCCGGAGTACATTAATTTCAAAATCAAAGAAAAATATGAACATCGAGAAAGAAATTGGACTCACCAGACTCAAAGTTGGCAGCTGTTTATAAAGTAGTGACTGCAAACCCTGCAAGAACAACAAGGACTGGTCACAGACCGACAACAAGGACTAGTCACAGACCGACACCAAGGACTAGTCACAGACCAACAACAATGACTGGTCACAGACCGACAACAAGGACTGGTCACAGATCGACAACAAGGACTAGTCACAGACCGACACCAAGGAATAGTCACAGACCAACAACAATGACTGGTCACAGACCGACAACAAGGACTGGTCACAGATCGACAACAAGGACTAGTCACAGACCGACACCAAGGACTGGTCACAGACCGACAACAAGGACTGGTCACAGAGCGACAACAAGGACTGGTCACAGACCGACAACAAGGACTAGTAACAGACCGACACCAAGGACTAGTCACAGACCAACAACATTGACTGGTCACAGACCGACAACAAGGACTGGTCACACACCGACAACAAGGACTGGTCCCAGACCGACAACAAGGACTGGTCACAGACCGACAGCAAGGACTGGTCACAGACCGACAACAAGGACTAGTCACAGACCGAAAACAAGGACTGGTCACAGACCGACAGCAAGGACTGGTCACAGACCGACAACAAGGACTGGTCACAGACCGACAACATACACTATTAGCACTCCAACAGTTTACTTATATATAGTGGTTGGTTGGTTGGTGTTCAAGTTCAACATAACTTTAACGCGAAACCTCACGAAACATTCAAGACCAAAAATAACTGGTTCTGGTACAGTGAAACCTGCCTTTAAGACAATCTATCTATGATAAAATCCTACAGCCGAATAACTGCCGACCCGTCCTCATAACACCTCGTATGCACTTTTCTTTGCCAATAAATACCGTTTTGCTTTCTAGCCATTTGTGATTTATATAAACAGGTTGCACTCATATTAAAAAAGATAGTAAACGATAATAGATTACAAAAATGAAATTGATAAATAAAATGTCTTCAAAATATTGAAATCAAACATGTTAGATAGAGGATTATGAAATCCTACTTACGAAGCATTCGCGTTCAGTGACGATATCTACTTTGAGGTAGAAAGTGTGTCCCTTCGCAGAAGACTCGCGAAAGTCTGCCCTAGGGCTGCCATGGCGAGTCGTCTTACACTTTCTTCTTGGAGTCTAAAATTCAACAATTTCATTCCATTTACAGTTCTTGAAATGTTTAATGGATGATAAAAAAAGAACGTAGTGACTTCTAATTGAGTTTTTACTATTCTCGATCGAAGCAAATTAACTTCAAAGAACAATTGATTAGTCTGCGGGAGTGTTGAGCTAGCTCAAAACATCATGTGTGAAATGTTTGGGATGTATAGAAAAGTTACTGACATTGGTCTCAATGTGAGAGGAAACGAGTTTTCTTCCGTTTCTGTTATTTTGAGCTACGTTAATGTATGTGTATATATTCCAACTATAAACAGTGGACGACACATATACACCAATATCACAGTGTGCTGACAAGTCGTTCACTCACCGACTCGGGAGACTTCTGTGACACTGTGCTATTAGCTGAAAATAACAACAAATGATTTAGTAATGCAGACAGAAAGATGTTTTCGTTAATCAATATACTGCGTTATCTGACAACCCTAGCACCTAAATGGCCAATAAGTCAAATTATGAAAGTAGCATTATTGTTTTTAATATGGAATGCAAAATAGGACAAGCTATAATATAATAGGATTTCAATCGTTGGGATCACGAAGCAATATTGAAAAAAACCCAACATGTACCACAGTATCAATACAGAGGTGTAATATCTACCAAAAATATCTACCAAAAAGTGGTAACATATAAGGAAGGAAATCTACCATAACGTCAATACACAGAGAAAAGATAAACCACAGTAGCAACACACAATATAGCATACAATTTACAGTATACAAAATACACGATACCAAATACAAAATATAGCATACACGATACAAGATACAAGATACAAAATATAGCATACAATATAGAAGATACAAAATATAGCATACAAGATACAAGATACAAAATACAAAATATAGCATACAAGATACAAGATACAAGATACAAAATACAAAATGTAGCATACAATATACAAGATACAAGATACAAAAAATAGCATAAAATATACAAGATACAAGATACAAAAAATAGCATAAAATATACAAGATACAAGATACAAAAAATAGCATAAAATATACAAGATACAAGATACAAAAAAAAAAATAAAAAAAAAAAAAAAAAAAAAGAAACAAAAAACAAAAAACAAAATAAAAAATATAGCATACAATATACAAGATAGAAGATACAAGATACAAAATACAAGATACAAGACACAAGATACAAGATACAAAATACAAAATACAAGATACAAAATAAAGCATACAATATACAAGATACAAGATACAAAAAATAGCATAAAAGATACAAGATACAAGATACAAAATATAGCATACAAGATACAAGATACAAAATACAAGATACAAGATACAAAATACAAAATACAAGATACAAAATACAAAATATAGCATACAAGATACAAAATATAGCATACAAGATACAAGATACAAGAAACAAAATATAGTATACAAGATACAAGATACAAAATATAGCATACAATATACAAAATATAGCATAGAAGATAGAAGATAGAAGATAGAAGATACAAAATACAAAATACAAGATACAAGACACAAAATATAGCATACAAGATACAAGATACAAAATATAAGATACAAGATACAAAATATAGCATACAAGATACAAGACACAAAATATAGCATACAAGATACAAGATACAAAATATAGCATACATGATACAAGATACAAGATATAAAATATAGCATACAAGATACAAGATACAAAATATAGCATACAATATACAAAATATAGCATAGAAGATAGAAGATAGAAGATAGAAGATACAAAATACAAAATACAAGATACAAGACACAAAATATAGCATACAAGATACAAGACACAAAATATAGCATACAAGATACAAGATACAAAATATAGCATACAAAATACAAGAAGCTTTATTTGACGTCGAATCGGGTGAACAGTTAGCATAAGCTCTCAGGAGCTTGTATTTCGACAAACATGTTAAATATAAATAATGGTATGAGACAAACACAATACATGAAATTAACAAATATCACACATGAGCATATATAATTATAGCTCATCATTTGGTGCATCAGGTTTCCAAGGGTTGGGGAGCCCCCTACCAGTGAGGTCTGCTTAATGCGCACATCTTAGTAGTTTAGGAAAGTTATAAATATCAATTTCATCACATAGAGAACATCTGTACTTAAAGTTAAAAGACTGGACTAGTATGTTTAAAATTCAACAGAATCAAAATTGAGAAAAAAATATGTATTGAACACATATTTTGTAAAATATAACTAGATCTAGTACTGGTAAGATTGGAGTACGATTTGGAATCACTAATATTCATGAAAATACAAAACAAAAATAGTTAAAAAGTAGCACATCATTTTAGCGCATAGCGGAGTCAAAAAGCGGCATCACACAAGAACAAAGTAGAAATATATTACCACATAACAATCAAACAATATGCTGCAGTGGCTACACAAATGAAGATATATATCTCAGCCACAACACAACAGGGGTGAAATATATCACAGTCACAACACAACAGGGGTGAAATATATATCAGCCACAGCACAACAGGGGTGAAATATATATCAGCCACAACACAACAGGGGTGATATATATCTCAGCCACAACACAACAGGGATGAAATATATCACAGTCACAACACAACAGGGTTGAAATATATATCAGCCACAACACAACAGGGGTGAAATATATCACAGTCACAACACAACAGGGGTGAAATATATCTCAGTCACAACACAACATGGGTGAAATATATCACAGCCACAACACAACAGGGGTGAAATATATCACAGCAACAACACAACATGGGTGAAATATATCACAGCCACAACACAACATGGGTGAAATATATCACAGCAACAACACAACATGGGTGAAATATATCACAGCCACAACACAACAGGGATGAAATATATTACAGCTACAACACAACAGGGGTGAAATATATCTCAGCCACAACACAACATGGATGAAATATATCTCAGCCACAACACAACAGGGGAGAAATATATCACAGCCACAACACAACAGGGATGAAATATATTACAGCTACAACACAACAGGGGTGAAATATATCACAGCCACAACACAACAGGGGGGAAATATATCACAGTCACAACACAACAGGGGAGAAATATATCTCAGTCACAACACAACATGGGTGAAATATATCCCAGCCACAACACAACATGGGTGAAATATATCTCAGCCACAACACAACATGGATGAAATATATCTCAGCCACAACACAACAGGGGTGAAATATCTCACAGCCACAACACAACAGGGATGAACTATATCACAGCCACAACACAACATGGGTGAAATATATATCAGCCACAACACAACAGGGATGAAATATATATCAGCCACAACACAACAGGGATGAAATATATCACAGCTACAACACAACAGGGGTGAAATATATCTCAGCGTCAACAAACATGTACCCCTATAATAACATAAGACAAAACCTCGGGTTATAAACCAACGATGTAATTTGTGCTTGCACACGTAACACAGTTAATGATTTAAGTCTGTGGTGCAACGATTGGAGTCAGGATAAAATCCTATGCAGCCAGGTATTAACATATGGCCCTAGACATGGGGTTTAAAGGAAGACTGGTGCTATGCACCTGGACTAGAGGAACATTCTTGTCATGACTCCCAAAATCACAACATTTTGGTAGCAAGCGTAGTTTTGTGAGACCTGACTTTCCGGATATCAGGAGAATCCGAATTATATGGTAGGATAAGGCGGAATCAGGAAACATTTGGGTTAAAGACAATGAAACCAGCATGTAAGGCTATTATAAGACGTGCAATAGTGCAGATATCGTTTTGAATCAAGCGTCTTTTCAGTAAGGTTTAACTGTATGCCGGTCGTTTTCCAGCGGTGTGTTGAGCTAGTTTTATATTCGGCACCTTTCTCAAAGAATTTATTTAATTATTTAGAGGTCATTGCCAGTACTTACATTCGATACTGTTTTATTAGTTTGTCTTCTATTAACTTATTCTGGTAACCATATTGTCAACACTTACCTAAGGTGATGTTTGGCAGGACTGTTTTCAGGTGAGCTAACGATAGCTTGGACTACAATGAAAGCCACACAGTGTTTATGCTTAGTCTATACTATATATATATACGGTATACGATATACAGAGTATATATATATACGATATACAGAGTTAAAAGTGATAATATATTTATATGGAATAGTACAGTGCTGAACGTAATTATATTTTTATATTGTACAAACTTGATACAAAAAGTTGAATATAATGAGACTTTGTAATGATAGCTATTGGTATGTTATAGAATTAGTATTACAACTGTGAATATCACACTGCAAATTCATTACAGCAATTTTATATAAAATCAATGTTGTGATAGATATGCGCACACCTTTGATTTGCGGGAACTGAGCATCTCTTTGGAGGAAGAAAGACAAGGCTCTGAAACTGAAATCAGATCTAATAAGGAAAATTTATAAAACAAGTTCTGCCATACGAAAGTCCACAGTAATGCATCACGGTAAGACATTACAATAGGACATCACAGTAAGATATAACAGTAAGATATTACAATACAATATAACAGTAAGATATAACAGTAAGATATCTCATGAAGATATAACAGTAAGACATTACAATAAGACATCACAGTAAGATATAACAGTAAGATATAACAGTAAGACATTACAATGCAATATAACAGTAAGATATAACAGTAAGACATTTCAATAAGACATCACAGTAAGATATAACAGTAAGATATAACAGTAAGACATTACCATACAATATAACAGTAAGATATAACAGTAAGA